GGGGACACCACTAGTGACCGGCTGCCAACTGGATGCAGCACCGTTCACCACCACTCTCTGGGCCCAGCCCTCCAGCCAGTTCCTAACCCAGCAGTGATCACATAAGCAAAGCTCAAAAGGAAATAAAAATCAAATAAATGCTAATTCCAAGGAAGTCAGTCCCAATAGAAAATGTGATTGAACTGACATTAGAGAAGTAGTGTCAACTCAAGGACAGACTCAAATTTTCTTTTCTGGCCTCAGGCCTTCTTGGCTGAATGGGAGCACTATATTTGAGTCATGTCAATACCTTCTGATAGTCTTTTTACTAAAAATCCCTCGCTCATCTGATACCAAATTCTAACTACAGGTCTGTTGGGATGCGGGGCTCGGCTATCAGCAGAGAAGGAGCTGAGGAGATTATGTAGCAGGCCATGGACAGCAGGAGCTGGGAGAAACTCCTTGCTCTGAGGACCTTCATCACAAGACCTATTAATATTTAGCTATGTTGATTGCCATATCTCCTTCGGCAAGATATGAAAGACTTTGCGATAATGTTATCAGACCATGTAGAAACCACTTTGTTCTTTTCCCCCCACGTGATCCTAGCTAAGGGAAAATATCAACAGTTACTGTGTAACTGTAGCAGAAAATTGTGTAATCCTCTAGTCAGCATAATCCATCCCCTAGTTAGCAAAACCTGTCCCCTTCATTAACATGTCCTGCCCCCAAGACCCTTATATTACGAAGCATGTGTTCAATAAATATTCCAATTTTCACCCTCAAACCTGGAATCAATTAGTTATTGACCTCTTCAAAAGTCTAGACACCTGAACAAGTGCTAAAATCCTGTCTCTGCGATATTTTGAATACAAATCCTTGAATACTTAGCTCAGACCACGGTTTTCTTAAAAGTCAGTGGAGGTACTACTCTTCAGAAAAATGTGTAGTTCAGCACCTAAACAAGTGACAAACTTCCCAGAAGAATCTAGCTTTCCCTGAAGAGTGAGAGGGAAATTGTGGTGACAAGGCTCCAGGCTTAGTCATGTCCCCATTCTACGAAAATCTACGTCTTTTTCCTCAGCTGCAACATGGGAGTAGTCACATATTTTTTGTATTTCATCGGACTCTTGTGAGGGAATTAATTTAGGTCACTTTGTAGAACACTCAGTATTTATTAAGTCTGCTCCCACCATCGGGTATCAATTATTATTTTATTTTGTAAATAATTTGTGGAGTTCTCTTTCAGCTACACTTAAGGTTTTCCAAAGAAAGGGGCTTGTTAGTAGCTTCAGAAATGTCTCACTAAGCCTCCAGTTATTTGTCTCTGTCAACTTCTCCAAGTTGGAAATGGAAGAGTTGCATTAAATATCCCTATTAACTTTCCAACATGTGACTCGAAGGAATTGCTCTGTCTTTGATTAGTTAGAAGTACATCTGCAAAACTGAGTTTACAATATACCACATAATCTCAAGTGCAGATCTTATTTTGCCATCTGGACCATATGTGTTAGTGTCAACAACAGCAATAAACAACACAAGACGCAGTTCACATAAACATTTCAGAAATCGTAAGCTTAATCATTGTTCAGAAGTTGGACCAAGCTATGACTAACCTCTTCAGGACCATAAGCCCTCGGCTTGCTAACTTTGAAAGGTATCCAGAAGAAAGCGTATCCAAAACCTGAACCTAGAGATAAAAGGGAATTCATGTGGCATAACAACAATATGAACAGCAATAAACAACTTTTAAAACTGATCAACTGTGAAATTGAAGTTGTGTTGCACTGCAAACCTTGCTGAATGGCGATGTCCGCTAGCAGTGCAAATACTATTTCTGTTACAGGATAAGACTATTTCTTAATTCATTTTATTAGCTACTTCTTTTCCAGTCCACTGAAGTCCGTTGGACTGTCTATGATGCTGTCCCTCTAACCTTGGGCTTTCCAAAGGGATTCTGGCAACAGCATCAGTGGGTAAAATTGATTAAAACTCGAACTTAAGGGGAAGAAAAACAAAGGCAATAATCAGTGGAAAACATTTTAGAAAGCAGAGCCTAGAAAATTACTGTTAATCTGATCTGTACACACAAATGTAAGGTTTTGACAACAAGTGCCCGTGTGACTCATCACAGCACGAGTCAGAGCCAGAGCACTAACAGCTCCCAGGGTCAGTGGCATCCTCAGTGCATTTCTGCTTTGCCACTTCCCTTCAGTCTATGATTTTCAATCATGAAAACCTGACTGCATTGAAAAGGGAAGAATCACATTTTCCCCGGTCTGACAGCAGTCTAGGCATGCCCTTAAACTATTCTTAGGTTTTTGGTACAAGACACGAAGAAGATGTTCCAGTTCCAGACAACAAATGAAACTAACGAAAGATGTTTTCACCTTATTTCCATAAACAGATATTAGGTCAGAGATAGTTAAATTCTAATATTTCAGGTCCAGTCTATATGAGAGTGAAAAGATTCTTGTATGATGATTTAGACGAAGCCCATGCCAAGCAGGTATTTCTGTAGCCTCATTCCTCAGTCAGAAGTGACAGCAAAGACCTATACCCTGTTAGCACCATAACTAACACTGTATTTACCCTAAAAAATCATCTACCAGAAATAGCTGTCAGTATTTAGAAAGACAGGGATAAAACAACTCAGAAAAGACAGAAAGAAAAACTACCTTTTTAGACTACCAGATATCAGTAAACTTTCCCATTTCCTCCTTTGGAAGTGACATAAAGATCATTGACTCAAGGAAGCTAGAAATTATTGCTAATAGAGAAAATTCTGCCTCGTTTTTCTTAAGAAAATTTTTCTTAAGTAAGTAGAAAGTAGGAATTATATAAAATAACTCCCAGAATAATGTCTGTTTGACCATGGTCTGAGTCCTAAAATTCAGTCCTACACAACCTTTTTAGAATAAGGAAGGTAGGATAGCCCTCACTTATTTTATTATCTGATACCTAAACCAGTGAGGGTCAAACTGTTCTCCAAAATTCTTTGCATGGGCTGCTGTTTTGCACTGATATCCAGATATCAGTAGATGAGTGCTGTTTCCCCAGATAATTTGTTAATGCACATCTCTCACACTGAGAGACACTAAATAGAAAAGCCAAAAAACAAGAGCTAAATTTAATGTTATATGTTGACTTAGATTTCAGCAATCATGGTATGATAGCTAACAGAAAGTCACTGTGCATGAATGCTATATTTAAGACATTCCTTCCAGTCTCGTTATGCCAAAACTCTCGTTATGCCCCTGACTAAACCTCAAGGTAGTCTTAGGATTAACAAAGATTTAATAGCATAAGGAGTTAAGTAGTAATCCACATAAACTGGCAGAAGCTACAAAGTGCCTTTAGTGGCTGAAGTCAGAAAAGAACACTGCAGATAAGTCATGCAACATAGCTGAAGCTGAACTCCTAGGTACTTCTAGTTATAAAACTACAGTTTAAAACATCAAAGATGCTGAGAATACTGGAAATTTATTAAAATAATTGATACACATGCCCAGTCATCAAACTGATGATTGTATGTGTTTGATGTAAAGGGAAAAAAGTGTCAGTTGTCTATTCAGTTGCTTTATCATGAAGAACAACTCCTAGTTGGTTTTTTTGAGTTTTTTTAATGGATTTCTGAAACTTCCACTACTTCATATTGTTAGTACAGAAGTTTCCAAGAGCAGAAGAGTTCTTGACGTATTTTTGTATCTTCTTTCAAACGAGAAGCCCAAGGAAGCTGGAACACTCAAATGCAGTAGAATGCCTTTGGCCCCTGCTGCAAAACACAGACATGATAGTGAAAGACACCAACCAAGAAAATAAAAAACAACTGTTGCATCTGACTTTGTTGAATGACTTTCCTGTGAAATGTGAGATATATCACTTTTTTTTCCTGACTAAAATTAGGAGATTTCAATTGATCTTGAAATTGGTGCCTCAAATTAATTCAGCCAAGACATTTTCTTGGGTATGTATATCCAGGATTAAGTGTCCTTGTCTTTCTTCACCAAAAATCGCAAGGCTCCAGAATCTGGATGTCTAGGAGAATCAGATGGTTATGATAAAGGCAAGAAATTAAAATAATTCCTTCAAAACTGTTGTCTATTTTGAGATTAAAGCCAAAAATCAATAACCTGTGAAGTCAAACATAGAAAACAATCATCACTAATCAACATAAAATCATTTTCCATATGTTTTCTGAAGCAAGATGGCTCATCACAACTGTTTCATCATGAGATTTCAATCAAAAATGATAGCTGGCATGTTTCTATGTCAGGCAAAGGAGACTGCAGAGACTGATTGTTCTAAACAATACATGTTAGTGGAACTATTTGCTAATTCTTCCAAATTAGGTTGATTTACAGCATTCGATCCAATTTAAAATTTGGAGGGTTTTTTTCCTGATTTTTTTGTGAAAAAATGCAATAGAATACACTCAGTATTTTAGGTGTACACCAAAAAAAGGAGTACATAAATAAAATATTTTAATTAATGGATTTAAATGGGATGACTCTTTATATACACAGTAGACTTCAGTGGAATTAATATTTATTTATATGTACAATTTGTTTGGAACAAAGACACGAATATGTGATCCAAATATATTTGTCTCAAAAACACTACCCTGTTTCTCTAATTACAAACATCTATTTTAATTTCTATTACCTTAACATTTAGGAGTCCCAGTCCTGGACCAAAACCTTGTTTTCCTGGGAACTGTACAGTCCCCGAACAAGAAAATAATCCCTGTCCCTGCAGCGTGAGACAAGAGAAGAAAAAGAAAGAAGAATGTTAAAGGTATAGAAATGGAAGATTCACATGTAGTTTCAGTGTATTAGCAGTCTGGCCATCCACAAGGCTATATCCCAGTGCTTGTTTGGCTGTTTTCTTTTTTCTTGGTATCATAATAAAGCAGAATTTTAAGGTATATATATACACTATCCAACTAGAAAAAAGATGTAATTTAAGGCACCACCTAGTTACCATTATTAAGCTGTCTACATTTGTATAGTATCAATTCAAAAATATCATGTCAAAATGTACCAATGGCAAATAAAGCCATTTCCAGAAATGCAATACATATGGTTGATGATAGAGTGCAGTTTGAACCCAGTGATTTAGCAAAAAAAAAAAGACTGAACTAAATTTTCATATCATTAGCACATGAAGATTTCAATAAGAAGATTGTATTTTTAAGGTATACATGTGAAATTTTAAGACTAATGTGAGAAAATAAGAAGATGATAGAGAAAGAATACTGTCTCAAACTTTTAAAGGGAATTTCTGAAAATTTTAAGGCCTTCAAAATATCTAGAAATAAATGGTTCCTTTAAGTAATTTCTGTTTGATTTATTTAGATTATAAAGTATTTTAGTTTTTCTATGATATGATGAGTTTCATGCAGATTACATGACTCATGCTGATGACATGGAAGGTTTAAATATTAATTTCAGTGTGCGTTACTTTCCTATCACGAAGGTTCAGCAATGAATGGAATCAAAACTGCAATCCAGAATTATTGATTCATTGACTTATTTAAATCTTAAGCAGTTCTGACATCTCTGCAGCTGAATACAGATTTGTTTTAGCAATCTGTTCTCAGTCTATGTCTATGTGCTGCAGGCTCTATACAACTCCGTTGGCCAAATATTTTCTTGAAGAAGGTTTACAATTTTGTCAAGTATTTGAAAATATTTATGCATGGACGCTACTGCTCATTTCCACAAATCATTCATTATTGTCATTGTCAGGTCCCCAAATAAATAGCCAAATCCTTACTAACCTTTAACAGGAAAAAAAATTTCAAATCAAAGCAACTGACTAAGTCCATGCAGATCTGGTATGAAAGCCTATGATGCATGTTTCTTGTTGACTCTTCCATTATCAAAGATTTATCCCTTATAACCCAGTAGCTGACATGGGGAAGGGGATTTCAACCTCATGAGTTGGAACTATGACAGCTCATAAGGATAGATCATTTCCAAACACTCTGATTTTTTACAAAATAATTTGCAATAAGTGCTATGTCATCGACTGTGGTTTGAGTCCTTTGTTATATATCTTTACTCCAAAGTCCTGGACACAGAAGGAAAGCAGATGGCTGCAGCCATAATCTAATCACCACAACTACTTGTTTCATGAATAACATTTACAACTTGCTTATGACTGATTCTGGAAAAAATACTGAAAATATCTTGCTGGGCCTAAGATTCCTTCAGCTGACAATATCCACAAAAGAGATGTTGTGAATTAATTTTATTGATATTTCAGATAAGATAATATGTGCTAAATACCAAAGTATTAAAAAACACACTAAATTTCTGTAAAAATTATTAAAAGAAAAATTACTTTTTCTCAATCCCCAGGGTTCAACAGCTAGGAGAGCATTTGCAGATGACTCATCTGTTTAAATGCACAGACAATTTAAATCATGATCTGATATTAAAAAATCAGAGTAGAACAAGAATCTGCCAATAAGTAGAACTCCTATTAGTTTTCAATCACTTCCACTGTACGACAAAGTGAAGTTAAAAACTCAGCCTGACCGATGGGCTAACAAGTTTAGGCTTCAGCAAAGCAAGGGCAGGAGAAGTGCCACAGCACGTGGCACAAAAATCTTTTACCTAAGTCAAAGAATCTTTCCTTCGTACTGACCCAATATCATCCTGAACTTTTCCCTTAATTTTGCATGAGGTGAAGGGTGAAATGCAATTGACAAAGTAAAGGTGATTAGTTATACTTAAAAAAAATATTTTGTCTTTCAGAACACCAATCCTTTGAAAACAGGAGATCACATTCACCAAAAAAAAAAAAAAAAGTAGGGAAAAATAATAAATGTTGAAAAATCTTCTTTTGATATTTTCTCTTAAAACTGTAGTTTCTCTGTTCAAGACAGAGAACAACTTCTCTGTTCTGAGTAGAAAAGTCATAGAATCACAGGCAGATTGAAAAGAACATTAGGAGGTCCCCAGCGCAACCACTAGCTCAAAGCAGCATCACTGATGAGGCCTGGTCTTAAAAAAACGCAAAGGATATAAGACCATATAACCTCTCTGGGCAACCTGCTCTACTCTGGTCTGTTCCCATGTAAAAAAACATTTTCCCTGTATGTACAGTCTGAGCTTCTCTTGTTTCAACTTGTGCCTGTTGTCTCCTCTCCTGCTGCTACACTCTACTGCAGAGATCCTGGCCTTCTGTCCCCAGTAACCCGACTAAAAGTATGGGAAGGCTGGTCTGAACTATCTTCAGGCTGAAATGGCCCTACATCTCATGCTTCTCTCACAGACAAGCCTCTGAGGATCCCGTTGGCCCTCTGCTGGGTTCACTCCCATTTGGCAATGTCTACCTCGGACTGCGGAAACCAAATCAGAGGATGCAGTGTCAGTGACGGTGTAGATCCAAGACACACCAAGCTGAGAAGAATAATCTCTTCCTTCTATCTTCTGGCTGTGATCTTGCTCATACAGCACTGGATGATGCCACTCCCACAAGCTGCCCACTCCTGTGGAGCCCTCTGTCTCTCCCAAAGCCTTGGGGACTTACCAATATACTGCTGCCCAGGCAACCAGTACCCAGCCTGGACTATTGTTGCTAATGGTAAGAACCTTCCCAGGTATGACTGGCAATGACCAACTTCGCATTTTGCTCCTGGTTTTTTCCCCCAAGTATAAGAAAAAATACAATTGGATGACTCTGTCCTTAAAGATTTGCAAGATTTCCTTATCTTCTTTGCCCTTCAGAGCTGTCTCATGGGATTCCACCTACTAGTCTTAATGAGTTTAAGTCTGCTACTTACTTTCCTTACTCCCTTCGGGTTCTTTACCTCCAGTAGTTTCTGGTTGGTACAGCAGAGACTGACACTGATTATCACATTCCCAACACATTCCCTGTTGTTAAAGAGGAGATCCAACTGTGCCTCTCCTTTGGTTGGCCAATCCATTATCTTTATCAAGAAGTTATTGTTTATACCCTGGAGAAGTCTTCTGAACAGCTTGCAACTTGTCATGTTGTCATCTCAGCGGATATTAGGGAAGATAAATTCTCCCCAGTAAGCTAGGTTTGTGATACAGAGACTTCTTCAAGTTGTTTAAAAAGATTTGGTTGACTTTGATTGTGCTTGGATGGAAAGACAAAATGGAACAAAATACTCTAAAACTACAGTAGTATTTTGACTGATAACAGTAATTTTTTTATGACTGACTTTGTATGCTTTTTAGATTTCACTCTTATAGCTTAATTCAGAGCAAAAAGTTTACTTTAAAATTTTGACTTACATTCTGGACCAGAAAAACCCCAATCAACCAACCAAACAAAAAAACCCTGAATAAACATAAGCTCGACAGCCAACCTACTTGTTTTCTGAACACATATTGAAGAGCAGAGTCCAGAGCAGTTCCCCAAAGAGAACAGAAATAAGCCGTGGAAAGAACCAGAGAAGAAAAAAATGGAGCTGTGTCTTGAAGAAAAATTCTCTCAGGGTTAATTACCTTTTCTACATCACACTATTCTTCACCACATAAATAGCAGATTGACACTGTTTCTAAACTCAACTGTTTTTTCCTTTCTAAAGGCCAATGAGACATTAGGAAATGTCTCCTACATATTTTCCTTGCCTGGATTTCTCTTTGCCAGAGGGAAAAACAAATAGCCTAAAAGAGGACTGTGAGAGGACTAGCAAGAGAAATTTGGCCACAAGAGAGGAAACAACCAAACAGGCCAGGTCTCTTCTGCTTATTGGACTCTGTTCCGCAACTGGCAAAACATTAGAAAATAAAATTGTTTCCTGATATTTTAATTTCCCATTGGCGTATACTATGGTAAACTTTTCTTTTGGGTAAGACACGTTTTGTAGATCTATTTTCTTTGTATAGCTAGAACAAAAAAATCTTTAGGGAAAAACCCTCACACATTCTGATTGGTAAATTTTCCCTTTGTTTGTGTTCAGATGGCCTGGGAAGTCCTGTCATCACTGTTGGGAAGAAATTGTATCCCTGAATAAAGAGAGTATTTACTGGATACATTACCACCAGCCCTCACACTGAACTTCGGAGAACCAAATCAACTGTCACATACTGATAGGAACATTGATATGAATTGAAATGAAATCTGAATAATACAAGACAGATGTTTGCTCACTGTTACCCAACTAATCCCAACCATCACAACAGCATGTGGCAAACACCTGTTAAGGCCTGCCTGTCTTGGATGTGCTCCTAGTCACTGAAGGAAATTGTTGCATCCTGTCTAACCTAAAAAGCAGAAAAAGTTTCAAATGGCAAGATATTTGTCTCCAATTACATAGAAAACTTGTCTCTTCCAGTCAAAAACTCCCTGTTGATTTGATTTTTTTCTTAAATACCACTGAAAAATCAAGCAGTGTTCAAAACTTTTCAAAAGCAGACTTCCTTCATACACAAAAGCTCTGAACATCACATGAGAGTGCCAAGGAATGATGTGTTACCCATTCGTAGTGTAAGACCTCAATCACAGTACAGCCCAGAAGCAGGATCATAAAAAGACAGAGCTTTAGAATCCAGCAGAAGTGATATAATTTTCCTTCCCTCGCTCCCTCCACTTCAACAGTTGATGTGCTGCAAGACAGGAAGGCTCTGCAGAGGGATCTGGATGGGCTGTATCAATTGGCTGAGGACAACAGTATGAGGTTCAACAAGGCCAAATGCCAAGTCCTGCACTTGGGTCACAACAACCCCAGGAAACATCATAGACTGGGGGAAGAGTGCCTGGAAAGTGGC